TCATTTCATAAGGATATATAAATAGTGTAGATAATATGACATGGTCAAATAAGCACGAACTCACGCGCTTGCACGTGGGCTGCGCTCTGATTGGCTGAAACAAAAATCTCAATATCTCTTTTGTTTTCCGACGAAATGCCTTGAAATTTTTAACATTGTCATGAATTAGGATATCCTACAATATAATATGGAAAAAGTATCATGAAATCACGCGCATGCACGTGCGCTGCAATCTGATTGGCTGAAACTTTAAATGGCTATATCTCCTTTATTTTTTTGACGAAATGCTTTGAAATTTAAAACATAGTCATGCATTAGGATATCCTGCAATATGATATACAAAAAATTTCAAGAAATCACGCGCATGCACGTGCGCTGCAATCTGATTGGCTGAAACTTTAAATGGCCATATCTCCTTTGATTTTTGACGAAATGCTTTGAAATTTAAAACATAGTTATACATTAGGATATTCTACAATATGATTTAGAAAAAAATCTTGAAATCACGTGGATGCACGTGTGCTGCAATCTGATTGGCTGAAACTTGAAATGGCTATAATTCACTTGGTTTTCAACCAAACAGAATGGGATTTAGAACATAGATAGATATAAGGGACTCCTACAAGAAGGCATGGTCATCATGCACGTGCACGCACATCCGTGCATTTGGAACGAGTGAAATTGAAAATACAATTGAATGAGTGATCTTTGATACTTTTGGACTAAATGCTTTCATATAAAGTATATTTTAATATATAGAAAGTGTAGACAAGATTATATGATCATTATGCTGGTGCATTCACATGGGCACGCGTGCAATGTTAAAATTTGAATATAATTGGTATCCTTTTTGGAAAACGTTGTTAAAGTAAAAAATGCACAGATGTTGTCTTATTTAATAAGGCTTACAGGGAATATGGCACCAAAAGGGAGTTGGGGAGCGTTTGGGGAACATCTGTAACGGTCCCCGTTACAATTAGCACTAGTTATTATGTTCCCCAAACGAAGTTGGGGAACATATTGTTTTTACTCTGTTTCTTATTATTCTTATTATTATTATTAGGTCTTTCCACCTTTCTGTGGAAAGACCTATTGATTTTCTTCTGTTTATTATTATTATTAGGTCTTTCCACCTTTCTGTGGAAAGACCTCTTGAAATGCTTATGTTTATTAGGGCTTTCCACCTTTCTGTGGAAAGACCTCTTGAAATGCTTATGTTTATTATTATTATTTTTCTTCCCGGACTTTTGAAACCGCAAGACTTATCGAAAAACTTTGTAGTTCTTGATATTGGATATTAAAAGTTATTCCGAAAAACGACAGCCCATGTTTGAACTTTGACCCCTTTCAAAGTTATTGCCCCTTTCGCAAGAAATGCTTGTTATCGCTACTCCTTTGAAACCGTAAACCGTAGATGTATGAAACCTTCACCAATGTCTTCGACTAATTGAGAGGACTCTGGAATCTATTCATTGCAAAAGTATTCGGTGACTCCTTCAATGAATTATTGCCCCTGAAAGTTTTAAAGCTTACAAGAAAAATTAAAAACTTTTAAATGACAAGTGGTAAAGATATAGGACCAAGTGCATGAGATCTTATGACCGTTGACCTTGAAAATAGGTCAAGGTCAAAGGTCAAGGTCATTGGAAAAGTAGAGAAATTGCCAATTTAAGCTTAAATTTCAAATGACCTTGACCTTTGACCTTGAAATTTGATTTTGACCTTAACCTCTGACCTTGACCCTTAATCAAAAGGTCATAAAGAAATATTCATTACCTTTATCTAGATTCAGCTTCAAGTGTTAATCTCAAGTTTACCTCTCTCTCTTTTCATGACCTTGACCTTTGACCTTGATAAATGACCTTGACCTTTGACCCATTACACCAAAGGTCACAATCAAGCTAAAGGTCGTGGAGGTATTTACAACCATCACTCTAACAAATGCTTATAAAGTTAACCCCCCCCCCCTTTAAAAAGAAAATCAACACCGACTTAGGGAAAATGCCTACAAGTCAAACGAAACGAAATATCGGCATAAAATTCGTAATAAAAGCAAGATTAGACCTGAAAGAAAGTGTCCTGAGAGTTTGAAGGTGAGCCTCTAAAGTATTTTGAAATTATAGTGAATATCGGCAAAATCTGCATTTTTTTTCTGTCTGAAATTTAGTTATTGCTGAGCATAAAAATTAATTAAAACTCGCATTGGCTATTTCTGCAATTATTGTTGATATCATTCGATTCTCCTGCTCTATTACGACATTTTAATACCAAGTATTCTTGCTTTCTTAGGTGTATGGAATTTATTTTAATTTTATTTAGATTTAAATCTAAATCTCACTCACTGTTTTTCCGGGATTTTGAATTTCCTCTGCAACTGACCACGTGTATTACTTTCGCTTTTACGACTCTATATATGCTAAGTGTCATTGCTTCACTGCAAATGTGTCCCATAATTATTCTAATCATTTTCCTACATACAATATCACATCAAACCGGCAAGATCTCAGTTTTTTAAGAAATTTGACCGGTACTTTCCTACGAAACTACAGGTATCCTCTTCCACCTTCAAAAAAGAATTAGTTTACAAACTACGCTTACTTGTGTACAACTTGATGGCTCAATGGTTAGCGTGTCCGACTTACAAACCAAGGGTTGTAGGTTCAAGCCCAGCTGGAGGAACTTTTTTTTTTTTTTTTTTTTTTTTATTAATTCAAATGACATGAAAACTTAAAAAAGGTGGAAAGCCGTTAATTGTTCAGAGAACAATTAGTCTCCTAGTTATTATTAGGTCTTTCCACCTTTCTGTGGAAAGACCTCTTGAAATGCTTATGTTTATTATTATTTTTCTTCCCGGACTTTTGAAACCGCAAGACTTATCCAAAAACTTTATAGTTCATGATATTGGATATTAAAAGTTATTTCGAAAAATGACCCCCCATGTTTGATCGTTGACCGCTTTCGAAGTTATTGCCCCTTTCGCAAAAAATGCTTGTTATCGCTACTCCTTCGAAACCGTAAACCTTAGAAATATGAAACCTTCACTAAAGTCTTCGACTAATTGAAAGGACTCTGGTATCTATTCATTGCGAAAGTGTTCGGTGACCCCTTCAATGAGTTGTTGCCCCTGAAACTTTTTTAATTTTAGAAATTATTAAAAATTTTCAAAACGAGAAGGGATAAAGACATGGGACCAACTGCATAAGATTCATTGATCTTTGACCTTTAAATTAATTTCAAGGTCTAAGGTCAAGGTCATTCCAAATATGAGAAATAAATTTATTTCAATAGCTTTTATATCCTTAAACATATATTATCTATCTTCTGTCTGTTACATGCACTCTTAATACTCTTTTAAAAATTTTATTCTTGTCCCCTAAGATTGACCTTTTTAAAAGTTATTGCCCCTTGTGCAAAAAACCTTGTTATCGCTACTTCTCTGAAACTGTACACCGTAGAGACACCCAACCTTCACTGATGTCTTAAGGGTCTTAAGGCCTAACTTCATTGAATAAGTGCAAAAGGATCTGATGACCCCTTTTATGAGTTATTGCCCTTTAACTTCTTTGTACTAAATATTAAACTTTATAACTTGAAAACTATAAGTCATAGAGGCATGTGGTTAATTGCAATGTTACCCTTGACCTTCGACCTTGAATATTATTTGAAGGTCAAAGGTCAAGGTCATTTCCAAAATTTTTAAAATTATATTTTTTCCATCTTTTAAGCCATTTCTGGTTTCTTTTTAATGAAATTTTAATTCAAAGGAATAAATATCAAAACTATTTCAAATATTTCATTTTTGTCCCCTAAGATTAACCCTTTGAAAAGGTATTGCCCCATGTGCAATAAACCTTGTTATTGCTACTCCTTTGAAACTTAAATCGCAAAGACATGAAACTTTATTAATGTCTTAAGGGACTTTATGCACAACTTGTATGTTAAGTGTCTAAGGATCTGCTGACCCCTTATATGACTTATCGCTCTTTAACAATTTTGCACATGCTATTAAACCTTACTTTATATATTAAAGTACTAGAAACATAGGGTTTATTGCATTTTGACCCTTGGCCTATGTCCTTGAAAAAAAATATCAAGGTCAAAGGTCAAGGTCATTTCAAATTTATTTTAATTTTGATTTTCACTCTTTTTTCAAGCCCTTCTGATTTCTTTTTTTATATACATGAATCTAAATAGCATTAGAGAGTAAAATATTTAGTTTAAAAAAGGTGGGATAACATCTTATTGTTCAAGAACCAAAAAAAAAACCTACTACCTATTATTACTAAATATTTTTTTACAATAAGTATGTCATTTTAAAACTAATTGTAAATTTATTTCTTTAAACCTGACCCTTTTTTTTAGTTATTGTCACTTTCACCGTAAATCTTGTTATTGCGAATAACATAGAAAAACAAAACGTTCAACATGTCTTTCACTAATTGGAGAGACTCTTAAACCTTTTCATTGCGTGGGTATTCCTAAACCTTTTCAATGAGTCATTACCCTAGAATTTTTTGAATGTTTTCGAAAGCTTTAAAAAGTTGTAGAGATACTTAAACAACTGAAATAGATTCTTAGACCTATGAACATGACATTTATGTCAAAGAAAAGGGTGCGAGAATATGAGAAATTTACTAGTAGTTATTTTTATAACTATTTTGTCTTTCAACATACAATTCATATCATTGTATTTTCACATGCCCTTTTAAGACTTTAAAATGGCTATTGGTTCTTAAAAAACACAATAAAAGAAGAGAATTTTTGTCTCTTTTTCTGCACTTTTATTCGCTCTTTTTTGAAGCACAACAATGCACAATGTCTTAAATATTTTCAAAAATGCATTAAATTTTATTAAACACAAGTACAAATGTGTCATTTCAAGTTCTTGCACAACGTTGTCATCGCTATTTCTCAGTAACCATAGACAGCGCGAGATTAAACTTTATTGCAGTCTGAGAAAGATGAAAACAAAGCTTTTTCAAAGCATACTGAACCACAAGTTACGTCTTAATATAAAGTGCTATTGCTTCGTGATAACTGTAGTAAGTCGGAATAATTGAAACATGAAATTCTGGACAACCTTTAATGTAAACATGGTCAATCAATGTTCCATTTTCTGTTGTTGGATTTTCTAGGCATTGTCTGAATCCATTTGATGTCATGAAGCTAAGTATTGATGTCTGATGGTTCAAAAGATCTTGATTAAAATCTCCAATGACAATCAACTTCCTTGAAAGTCTTTCCAGTCGGCTTAGGAGTAGCTTTAGTGCTTCCATAAATTTTCCAATCAAATATCTTTGAGGTCTGTATATGCTGGCAACTACAGTGTCAATATTTCCAATTTTGAATACAATGCACTCTAGATTTTCAACAATTTTCAGTTCCTCGTATATGACTCCTGACTTACAGAATACGCTTACACCTCCGTGTTGCAATCCTGCTAGTTCTTTATAGAATGAGCAGCTTTCATCATAAGCTGATGACCTTATCAAATGACTCGCTTCAAAATGTTCCAGCTCCATGAACTTTGATTTGGAATCCAACCAGGTTTCTGTAAGACATATAAAATCTGAATCTTTGATTTCAATATTGCATAGCAAATCGTCTTTGTGCTGTTGTAGTCCTTGTATATTGTGATACAAAATCTTGATATGATCGTTTGAAAATTGTTGATCATCTTGGACTGATAAGAAGCTATTCATTGCAGAGGTTCCAACACAAATGTCCGGATCACAGCGTATTTTCTTGTCAAGTTTGCCAATATCTGTGACATTTATATGCAGTCCACTAATGGATGTGACTCTGCTCAAGGCAACGTATGCTTGTCCAGGTGCAAAACATCTATTTAAGTCAACTACACATTCATTTACGGTTAATCCTTGAACCTTGTGAACGGTACAAGCCCACGCCAGTTGCAGAGGATATTGCTTTCTTACACCGTTTCTGATAGGAATTTCTTCTGTTGAAGGACATAGTCCAACACATCTTTTCCTGTTAATCATCTTTTGAATTTTAGCATTTTTGCCAACATTCTCATTGTCAAATGCGATAAAAACCACGTCTGGTAAATTTGAGCCTGACTTTATCTCAATGCCCATAACAGTTCCCATCACTCCATTTACAAGACCATCTTGCACATCTTCATTTTTAATCAACATGACTCTTGCTCCATCTGCTAACAAAAGCGAAGGTCGAAGACATATGTCAGATTTTGTAAACTGTGTTTCTCTCCTTGCCAGCTTTCCAGATGCTCTCATTTTCACGTAGTCTTCTGCCTCTATCAATTTTGGCTCAGAACAAACTTCAAATATCATTTTATTGTTGTATTCATTAATTTCCTCATTGGTTGAAAATATGTGTAAAGCTTCTCTGGGACCCTCTCTGATGCACTGCTGTAATGACTGTTTGTCGGACTCCAATAATGTTTCACTCCCTTTTTTCACACGCAATCTGTTCAACAGCTCCGCAAAAGAACCATCTTCTCGCTGTCTCATAATTTCATCCAATTCAACGATTGTGAACAAGTCATTCCAAAGTTGATTGATTGGATTTGAAGGATCATTTACATACAACTTATCAGAGCGTTTTGTTTTCACTGGTGGTAATTGGTAAAAATCGCCTACAGCAATTACAGACACGCCTCCAAACACACAACTTTCAGGCATTTTTTTCAGTTGCCGCAGTCTCTCATGGACAAAGAATAACAATCTCTTGTTAACCATGGATACCTCATCAATGATAAGTATCTCTAAACTGTCCAGTTTGGACCTCAGCTTATTCACTTTATCCTCACTCAATAAAGCATGATCTACTGACAATGATTTGAATATGCCAAGTGCACTATGTATTGTTAGTCCATTGATGTTAAATGCTGCAGTACCGGTTGGCGCAGTCAACAAAACAGTCAAATCATCAGGGTTTTCTGATACGTGTGCCAATAATCTTGTTGCTTCATAATATATGCATTTTATCAAATGGCTTTTCCCTGTACCAGCACCACCAGTTACAAACACATGAAATGGATCTGGACTGTGACCATTTTTTTTCCTGATACACCAGTCTCTCACTTTATTAAATATTTTTCTTTGTTTCGAATTGAGTGATCGGAGGAGAGGGAGGACCTCATTTTTTGGAAGGGACGAAGAAAGAAGATTTGTTCCTGTACTGTTTGAGGGTTCTGTCTGATTTAGATCAGGTATTAATTGCTCTGATATATCTTCCTCATCTGCAGTTGCAGTGTTTCCTTCCTCTATGCATTCCATTCTATTCACCTCTGTTTCTGGACAAATTTCACACCATGCATCATCTTGAGGTCCTTGTGCTTCAAAAACTCTTTCAGCTTCTTCTAATGTTTGTCCTTCTTTTACAAAATTTGACATATTACTGTCTACAATTTCTTTTACTGACAATAAGGTGTCCTCGCCTGGATATTTTACATACCCTGTTTCGTAGAAATTCTCATAAGTTTCAAATTGTTTGGGTTTCAGTTGTGACTTCTCTCTGTGTGGAAGATATAGTTGTAGAATACTTTGATAGTATTTTTCCTCCGCCGTTTCTATTGAAAATCTTGGGTATCTGATAACTGCCGGTTGCGTCTTAGTTCTTTTTCTAATGTACCCTAAGTTGTTGTTCAGCTTAAATGTCGTTTCTTCATTGATCTTCTTTGGTAACCTTGATTCATAAACAACAGAAAACTCTGAACAGAACGTTGCAAGGCACATTTTCTGAAAAATATCGTTTTCTGGTCGTCCCTCATACCTGTCTATAGCATTTGTCAGCCATATATCATCATTACTTCCGTGGATGTGTTGTTCTTCACAAGACTGAATTTGTTCTTTCATCTTTGATATGTTTTGTTTCTTTTTTACCTCTTTCAAAGGGATACTCATTCTACATGGGTTTTCACCAACAGGAATAAATTCAACCTTTCTTGAGCATTCTTTCAACCTCAATCCTATCACCCTGTAAACAGCTTCTTGTGCACTAATTTCCCTGTGGTGTAAATAAGCGGTACCAACTTTTTTCATAGCATCTTGAGCATTTAGATTTCCTTCAACAGCCTCATTTTTTGTTTGTTGCAGCAGAAGTCCAAGTTCACGTTCAGCTTTGCTAATATAGCTTATGATATAGACTACACACGAATATGCATCTAAAACATATTGAATATCCATGTTAGCATTCCAAGCTCTTAGAAGGTGCATGTTGTATTGATTTATGAAAAGCTCATTTGGTTGTCTTTGCAGCACAACTGTGTTTCTTTTTGTTATGAAACTGAAACATTTCTCAAACTCCTTTTGAGTCAACCCTGCCTTCTGTAATAAATCTGAACTTGAAGCGCTTTCATCTTCATTAGATTTTACTGCATCCCAAAGAAGTGACAATCGTTCTTTCGCTAGCTTTTCGTCATTTTCTTCCATCTTGTCTTGTGGTTTTGAAATAAAAGTTCTCTCAGATGGTGGTCTTGGGAAGTTGAATCTGCATACTGTTCCTTTCTTTTTGCAAGACTTTGAGTGATTTTTGCTATGCTGCTGCACCGCCATAACAATGTCGTGCATTTCTTGATCTTCGTTTTCACCTGGTATTTGACATGTAACATATCGATCAATAAATTTAACAACGTCAGTTTCAGAGTCTTCCTCAAATTTTGGAGCACCTTCAATCCAAAATAAGCAATGTGTATGCGGAGAACCCCTTTGCTGAAATTCAACTCTGTAGAAATAGTCGACTACTTTTCCTATTGGTTCAGCATCTGACATGATAACATCTTTCAAAAAAGTGTGAAATCTTTGATCAAACATTCGAGCTGCTGTAACTGGGTTACTGCGGAGAATTTTACACTTATCGTTCCATGAAAGTTCTTCCAGCTTTCGTAAATCACCCTGCTGTTTCAGTATCGTTTCAACAATTTCTGGCCATCTAAAATCTGCTGATGAAAAGGAGCAAAAAAACTGAGGTATTCCCAACTGTCGTATCATAGCAAAAATATCTTTTTGTGCAGCTTGCCAGTATGGCGGAGTTCCTCTTACAGGTTTTAGAAATTTGACTGCCTCGTCTTTTTTAAAGAGTTCTTTCAAAGTTTTCTTGTCACATAGCATTTCACCACTAATTTTTTTGCCATCGTCGGAAAATGCAGATTCTTTTCTTAAAGAAATCTGAACATTTGAAATTACTCTGTTCAATTCAGATAGGTACTGACTGAAAAAAATGTAAGATGTGTCTCTCGCGAATCTATTTTCAACACTTGTCAACCGAAGATTAAAGTATCTTGCAAGAGTTAATTTTTCAGATCTTTCTTCCGAGTAAGTGCTTTTTCCAGTCGGAAAATGAACAGGAAAGGTTTTGGCTTCAATACCATCCTCTCGAAGAACTGAAACTGGATTGTTTCCTTCTGCTGGTGAAATTTCAAACACTTTGTCAAAGCATAAATCTAACACATTTTGTCCAATGTCAGCAGGCTGTAAGCAAGTATCTAACTGAACACCTTGAAGTCTCTCGTCAAGAAATGAATCGGACTCAGTTTCCATGCTCGCAGTTCTACATTCTCCATTGTCATCTGAATAATCAGCGTTCGAATTTGTAGTTCTTTCGTCAGTTACAGATAAAATATCAGAATTCATGTATTCATCTGATTCATTTTCTTCTGGAATAGGATTGAGCCAATTTTCATTTACTGAAATTTCAGAATACCATGAATTGTTTCTCTTTAAAAACTGCAAAGCTTTTTCCAAATGTGTTGTATTCACAAACTGATACTCTTCGTATCCTTTGTAATTCAACTTTCTCTTTAATTTCACTTTGAGTAAGAGATTTTCATCTTCTGATCTCGGCAAAGTTGATGTTATTTTTTGAATATCAGATGGGACACATACAACAGGACCGTGTACGCCCTTTTGACCTCCTTTTGGCAAACCAAGTATTTTCATGAAAGGAATATTCAAAGCTATCAGTTGTTGTTCTAATGTATTAAGGCAACTAAGCTCCATTGGAACTTCTTCCAACTCAAGATTATTTGAAAAGGAATCTCCCGGTACGTCACCTTTTAAAAGTTTTCTGTGACAAGTGTGGCAAATCCACATGTCTTTCCTACTTTTCCCTTGATAAACACATCCTGATGTACAGTCATTTTCACACTTGTGCAAATATTTCTCGGAAATACAAACTTCAAACAAAAATTTGTCGTATTTCTCTTTAGAACAGGAGAGAACTTGCTTTTCAAAACATAGACGAAGACAACAAGCACACACATATTCGGGTCCATTTTTAACTTCATTTCTGAATTTCATAATCACGTTTTGAAATTGTTTACATTCCTCTTTCTGAATACTTCTGCGCTCAGACACCTGCTCTTTTATTTTCTGTTTGTGCTTTTCGTCAGTTTCATATTTTGTTTTGCTTGCAAACTTGACTTTTTCTCTGAAATCGGCCTTCTTTTTATATTTCTCCTTGCTTGCATTCTTCACACTTTCTCTATATTCCTCATCATTTTCGTAAGAGTTTGCTGTACGTTTTCTTACTATTTCTCTGTGTTGTTGGTCTTTTAAATATTTCTCTTTTAAACCTGCTATCTTTTTTTCTCTTATTTCCTCGCAAGCCCAGTATCTTTCCTTTTGTTTTTCTGCTTTTGACTTTTCTTCATTGTCTGACTCAATGTCCAAACTATCCATTTGTGTTAGTTTTGTAGCTGAAATATTCACAGATTTCTTACTATTCAAATTTTGCTTCTTTTTTCTTGGTCGTGAATCTCTAGCTTTCAAACCACTTTGTGCTACATTGACAGATGTGACACATTCATAATGATTGATGTTGCTATTGTTTTTTAAGTAAATAGCTTCTTTGTTCACTTCATTGCTACTGCATATTTGAGTAGATGAGTATTTCACCCAAGACCCATTCAGATAAGTAAAGATGTCTGTTTTCAATAGATCTGCTGCGGCTAAAATTTCGAGTTCGGTCCCCCAAGTGGTGTCGTTTTCCATTCCAGAGATTCTGATGTAATTCTGCATAGATTCATACTGTGGCCTTAAAAAGGATTTTAAAGTCTCGGCAGAATTTTTCATATGATTGACGATTGATTTTCTAACATTTTGATAATGCTGCTGTCTATTTGATAGGGCATATGAAATTGCCCGAAAGAGACAGTTTCCATCCTTTCCTATTTCTTTGGTCGCTTTAGGGGGTCCCAATTTGCTTGCAACATCAGATTGCCCTTTACACTGATTAGAAGGGATTTTCATTAAAGAACATAATTTCTTTTTTGTTCTAATTGAGAGAGGTATAAATTCATAACTCTGACACGTTTCATTTTCAAACAGAATGTCTTCGTCTGACAACAGGTTTCTTACACATTCATTAGAATGATCGTGAACCTCATCTTCTGATATAATCTCAACTTTTTTATGTCCATCTTTTTTTTCAGATATAATAGCAAAATCTGAAGATTGGTTTCTTGGGGAATCATCTTGCATCTCTTCTACATGGTTTTCATTTCGTGTTAAGGTATCTGGTAAATGTTGATGGACTACATCCTGGCTGTTCAAGAAAGTTTCAGCTGGAGAATCTTCCATTGTTACACTTACACCTGTGACTTCAAACCATTGGTTTGACTGACTTACTCCTTGCACCAAATTACAACAGTAATGATATAAATGGTCCAAATTCTGTAACTGCATCAGTAAACTTTTCCCATTTCCATCTACTAAACCAAAGCTATTTCTTGCATGAGAATCAAACAGATAGAAACTATGGTTAAACTTCATTACCATAAAGGTTTTATCAATGGCACATATGAAACAACCATCAGAGTCTAAAAGTGCTTCTTGTATTGCAAGATCTAGAGGCAGACAATTATCAAAAGCACTGAAATCAATGGTTCCAGTAGTGTCTATTGTTGCTGTGATTGAGTCTTTTTTCCTAACATGCATCATTTTTTCAGATATTTCAATCATTTCTGGTAGATCTGACATTAGCAACAAATCATTTGTTCCATGAATCCACGTATAGATCTCATTTCCCTCAATTAAGACATTATCCAGATATGCCTGATCCCATTTATCTACATCTTTCAATTTGCTGTGAGCAATTGCTGACAAACTATTAGCAACACATTGCTTTCCACTATTTCTTCCAAACCTGGGATCTCCTTGGTGAAAACTACCTTGAACTACTGCCAGTTTTATTTCTTTTCCTGAGTTGAATTGGTTTTCTTTTCTATCAACCTTGCGCATCTTAGATGGTGGAGATCTTGCAGATTTGTTCATGTTTTCTTTTTCTTGTTTGTTTCTCTTCAAAATGTTTGTTTCATTTCTATTTGTCTTATTGTCTATTTGATTTGGACATTTTAAAGAGGTGACGCTCTCAGGACATTTTATAGAGGTGACGCTCTCTTCAGGACATTTTATAGAGGTGACGCTCTCTTCAGGACATTTTATAGAGGTGACGCTCTCTTCAGGACATTTTAAAGAGGTGACGCTCTCTTCAGGACATTTTATAGAGGTGACGCTCTCTTCAGGACATTTTATAGAGGTGACGCTCTCTTCAGGACATTTTATAGAGGTGACGCTCTCTTCAATGGCCCGACTTCTTCTCTGCTGCATCCTGAGTCGCTGCTCTGATGCCTTTCTTTCAGCACATTTCTTAGCTTTACGTGGCATGTTCTGAAAAATATGAAAATACAAATAAAAATTATTTAATTTTAATAATCAAAATCTAAACAGAATAAAATATGATTGTCAAAGCATCTTTCTTTGTATTAGAAAAACAAACTGACATTAAACCTGATATTTCAAACATTTTACATGAAGCTTGGACTTTATGGAATTGAGGTAGATAAAATTAAAACAAATGAGGAAAAGTAAGTTCAATGTCATAGGGAGAATTATATCATTTGGAAAACAGGAAAATTGCAATATTGGTATTGGTGTACAAGTTTGCTAAATAAAGTTAATGTAAATTTACAAATACTAGTAGTGCAGTCAAAGGTCAATATCATAAAAGTTTTATGTCATACACCGGTATTCTCTTCCCATGTAGCAATAATATACAATGATAAAAAGGAAATAACTTTAAACTAAGCTAAAATGTTATGAGAAAATCATTAAATTGTGTATCATATCTGAATAATACTAGTATTTATCTGGGTATTTTTCCTCTAAGCGTACCAATGTACCTTAACTTTGCATAAGTAAAGCACGCGGTTTTCTTTTTAAATTGAGCAAAATAATATTTTACAGTGTTAACTAATTATTTTGTCCTTTAATGTCTCCATTGTATTTCATATTTATCATACCCATTTAAATCTTGGCCATCAAGAATCTTTCTACATAGTATGAGCTTCTAATAATTCTCCATTACAAAGTTTGGGTCTTCTAGTTGTTCTCATTTACAAAGTTATAGCTTGAACAATATTTTAATGCTCTTTTGCAGTAACCCTAAACTTACTGTAATGACCTTTAGACAAGGCCATGTAAATTCCATCCATAAATAATTTTGTATCACATAGTTATATCCCATGCAAGGATATTAAAAATATTAGTCATGCCCTTAAACCTAAATTTTATAGGTAATGAAAGTCCTTAATAAGTACCCTAGAATACTTAAATATAACCATAAATGTCACAAGTAGATAAGGCAGGGCAATAATATCGATATTTCAATATATTGCAATACAATGACAAAAAATATTGTATCACAATACGATTTTGTAATATCGACATATTGGCAATATGCTTTGATTAAGGAATTTTGTCATTAAATATAAAAATGGACTTATGAATGTTTGTTATTAAGCCAAACATTAAGACAGAAGTTGTTTTGTGGGAACATTTCAGAGCATAACTTAAATAAAAATCAACAAGATTTTTTTCTGTGCTGGTTATTTATCTTAGTTTTGTACATTATGCGTGTAAATTAAAGTAAATATAGCGAAAATATGCCATTTTTATTACGTTGAAAATATTGCAATACATATCGCAATACAGTTCAAAATATCGCAATATATCGCAATACGAAATCTCGGGCCAATGCCCAGCCCTACAAGTATGTCACTGTGACCTAAATTTTGATCATCATTTTCCGAGAACCCAAGATGCATCAAATAAGAAGTTTGATGATTTAAAACCAATAAGTACTTGAAATACTTAAATATAGCAATAAAATGATAAAAGTAGGTCACTTTGAGCTACTTTTTGACCTAATTTTTGTTTGACATTTTCAGAAATCCCAAGATGCATCTACTGACAAAGTTTGATGATTCTAAGCCAATCAGTACCTGATATATTCAAAAGTGGGTCACCGTGACCTACTTTTGGTCAACATGCTCCGAAAACCTAAGATGCATCAAATGATAAAATTTGATGATTTTAAACCAATTAGTACCTGAGATACATAAAACTAGCCATAAAATGTCAAAAATAGGTCACTGTGACCTACTTTTTGGTCGACTTGCTCCGAAAACCCAAGATGCATCAACTGACAAATTTTTATGATTCTAAGCCAATTAGTACCCGAGATACTTAAATCTAGACATAAAATGTCAAAAGTTGGTCACAGTAACCTACTTTTTGGTGGACATTTTCTGAAGACCAAAGATGCATCAACTGACAAAATTTGATGATCATAGGTCTAATAGTATTCAAAATATGCCTTCTAAACAATTTGTAAACAAATGCCTGCAAAGTTCAAAAAGTAGGTTAAAGTGATCTACTTTTTGATAAATATGTTTTAAGGCCTCTAGATGCATCAACTTACAAGATTTGGTGATTCTAAACCTCTCGGTGTCTGAAATAATGGGATTAAATGTTTTAGAAAAGATTAGCCATACATTTCAAAAAGTAGGTCACGATGACATACTTTTAGGTTGATGTTGTTTGTTGACCCAAGATGCACCAACTGACAAAGTTTTATGATCATAGGCCTTAAAGTGTCTAAAATATGCCTCCAAATCAATTTGAAAACAAAAGCCCATAAAATTTCAAAAGTAGGTCACCGTGACCTACTTTTGTATTAACATGATGTAAAGTCCTGAGATGCATCAACTTACAAGATTTCATGATCCTAGTCTTTATAGTAAGCAAAATATCGTTTTTAATAAGTGTAAATATTGGTAAACTTTGAAGTGACCTTGAGATCACGCCCTTTGCCCCAGGGTCATGCCTTGAACAATTTTCAATCTTCAACATATCCTGACCATTGTATGTAAGTTTGGTGAAAATCTGCCTGGTGGTTCTGGAGAAGAAGATTTTTTAGCAACCAGTACTTTTGATTATATTTTCGTGATTATCTCCCCTTGTTTTAGGGTCCCACCCCTAGTCTTAGTATAAATGGTAGCCCTTGGGCCAAGGATACCCTGTGACAAATTTGACAATGATTGGCCAAGGGGTTCTTGAGTTATGGCCCATATTCTAAGAAGTTAATGCACACCGCAAACACCTTTGGCTCAGAAGAGCTAAAAAATATGGAACAGGCATGAATTTAAAATTTACTTTTCAGTGACCTTGAACTTGCCCAAATGACCTTGGATCAAGGCCATGACACATTCCTGGTCTTAATAAAAGTCTTAGTGTAAAATAAGAAATTGCACAGGTTAATCAATAAGAAATATATGGACATGACATTAATTATGAACTTTCACGTTTTCGTGACTTTGAACTTGCCCAAATAACCTTTGGTCAAGGTCATAACACACCCTTAGTTCATGAACAATCTTTGTGTGAAGTAGTAAATTCTAATGTTTCTCCGTAAAATATAAATGGACCGGACACATTTGCACAGATGGTGAGACAAAAGACGGACGGAAAAGGTGATTCCTGTATACTTTCTCAAACTTTGTTTGCGGGGGAGGTATAAAAAGAAATCTGTGAATGAATGCTCAATAATAGTACCATCTTCTGATGTATATAAACACAAATTCAATTCATCTTCCATTAAAGGGGTTTAATGCTGATGAGTGAAAATAAACAGGTTGATATTTCACACAGTGTAAGTGTATGGGTATGTCTAGTAAGGGAATGACCTAAATTCCTTGCATATAAAGTAATTAATTTTATTGATGACAAGATTTCTACGTGTTCTTATAACTTGTACAATTGCATCTACATGTAAGCCAAAACTTTAATAAAAAAAATTAGTTAATTCATGTGTAAATGTACTTGTTATACATTATTTAGGATGTTGACTTTTACAAACACTTATTTTAATCAAGTTTGCTGTTTACAAACTACAATTAAGACTGACATCAAAAAATTTCAAAAAAGTTGAAACAAAGCACTTCCTAAATCATGGTGTAAACGTATATGACGTTACATGTCATAAAAATCTGAACGTACAAATTATAAACACTTGTACGTGTAATGTCAAAGTATATGCACAGTGCATGTATGCGTAAAAGTTAAGATCTCAACCTCTTTCATAACTTCAAACATGTTACGAAGATACAGGGACAGCCCATATATTGCATCAATTAAAACAATTCTTGACAGAATGACAGACAGACACGGTGATTTATTGATGTAAAGTAAAAGAACTTTGCAATACTTTATTCTTTTTTTAAAAAATGTATAAACGCACCACTTTTTATCAGGCCTATTAATTAAACACAACAATATATCAAATGCTGTATTCAAAATCGCCTTCACACTTCACTAGATTCCACTGTATCTTCACAAGCAGTTAACCTGAAAAAGAAAATAAGAGGATTTATATAAAAGAGCTGAGGAAAAAATCTATATTCAGCAAAGTATTGTAAATTTGTTGGTACTCAATGAAAGGTCTTGCCACAAAAACACATATGTGAAGTATAAATTTCCTGGTATCTACTGTTCAAGAGATACGACCAAAGTAAAAGTTTGGAATTTTTGTGTAAAAGTGGGTCAAACTCCAAGGTAAAAATTGTTGGTACCCAGAGAAAGGTTTTTAGCTCACCTGAGCCGAAGGCTCAAGTGAGCTTTTCTGATCACATTGTGTCCGTCGTCTGTCCGTCCGTCTGTCCGTCCGTAAACTTTTCACATTTTCGACTTCTTCTCAAGAACCACTGGGCCAATTTTGACCAAACTTGGTACAAAGCATCCTTTGGTGAAGGGGAATTTAAATTGTTAAAATGAAGGGACATATCCCCTCGCAAGGGGAGATAATCAAGAAAAGAGAAAAATAGGGTTGGGTCATTAAAAAATCTTCTTCTCAAGAACCACTGAGCCAGTAAAGCTGAAACTTATGTGGAAGCATCCTGGGGTAGTGTAGATTCTAAATTGTTCAAATCATGATC